TTCTTCTTTTTTTTTTTAATTTTACATTTAAATTTTGAATTTTAATTTCAATTTTAGATTTTGAAATTTAAATTCTGCAAATTTTTTGATTTTCTCTTTTTTTTTGAAATTTGAAATTTAAATTCAAATTTAGATCTGAAATTTAAATTCAAATTTGAATTTTTTTAATTTTTTATTTTCTCTTTTTTTTTCCAAATTTGAAGTTTAAATTTTTTAAATTTAAATTCCAATTTAGATTTGAAATTTAAGTTCCTAAAATTTAAATTCAAATTTGAATTTTTAAATTTAAAAAAAATGCAAGCAATTCAAACACGACATACGGGCTGACCTAAGGTTTCCTAAACTAGTGATTCAACCAATGTGAATTATCTTATGTTCACTTGGAATTACACCACTTCCTTTGGTTAGCCAGGTAATAGGTGGGGGTGTGGGAGGTTCCCCTTACTCTCGCAATGACCTAATTAAGTAACCACAAAACCCGCTTAGGCTTAGCCGTTTAACCTCTTTCCTTAGACACCAATTGCTAGTTATGGAAACTAATCACAAGTTTCCCTAAAATTCAGCACACTTTTGAACCAAATGTGTGGGAACCCATAAAGGATCTTGCTATCCAAATTTTAAATTAAGGTTTAGGGTGAACCGCATGTGAAAGGGTGGTGGTTTTTGGGCCAAGGAAGGGTGATGGAATCCCCACCTTATCTTATTTAAATTGGATTGCCCTTAAATGGATTAACGGAAAAAAAAACACAATAAACAAAATAAATGCAACTAATTACAATGCATGAACAATTATCTTTAATATGCAATTCAACAATAAAATAAAATAATAAAACAAACTAATTCAGCAAAAGGAGCAATTAAAAAAAATGAAAAACCTTAACACATTCGCAACTAACAAAATAATTTCAGCAATTAAATAACCCTATATGATGCAAGCTCTAGAACATATCAAACCCCAAATGTTGGAATGAAAATGCAAAAAATTTAAAATATTAATTAAAATTTTTTTAATTATATATATATTTTTTATTTTTTTTTTGAAATTTGAAATTTAAATTCAAATTCAAATTCAGATTCGAATTAAAATTCAAATTTTGAATTCAAAATTTGAAATTTAAACTCAAATTTGAAATTTGAATAATTTCCTAATTAACAATTAATTATTCGATTAAACCACTAATTAAGGGAGCAATTAATTACAACAACAATTAATCATAGAAAATAGATAATAAAAGTAATAATTATGCTAAAAAACGAATTAACAACTACAAAAATAAATACTAACAAGGGAAATCGCTACTCTAAGGAATAAAACAGAAAATAACAAAAAAGAATATGTGACAATAAATAAAAAATAAAATAAAAAATGAAGTGAGTTTTTAATTTGAAAATAAAAAAAAAAATAGAACCTAACAACCCTAAACAAAAATCTATTTTGCTCAAGATATTAAAACAAAGAAGATTAAAAGGAAAAATAATACTAAAAAAATACATTGGATCTATCAAAAAAAATAATTAACTGAGAATTCAAAAACACTATTTTATCAAAAAGAATTCAAAAATAAAAACAAAAAAAAAACAAGAATAAATTGGGACAACAACACCTGAATCGTAATCCCAATTTCTCTTCTCTTCTCTTTTCTTTAGTAGTCCAACAACGCTCCAGTACCCCACCTTTTGTTATTATGTCTTGCAAAATCAAAGAGAAACAAGAATTAAAATGAGATTATAGATCAAGTAATCAAACAAAAATAAAAAAATAATGAAACAGATCCAGACAAAGCAAATAAAAAATTTCCCCGTTGATTTCCCAACAACGGCGCAAAAAACTTGGTGTTACTGGAAGCGTGTCGTTAACCACTTTGGAACACCAGTTTCATTATTTATAAATTTTTCTGATTCTGAAAATAACTACAAGCGTAGTTAGTGGTGAGAAAGGGGTTGTATCCATAGGGAAGCGAGGGAAAAATCGTTATGTACTTCAATCTGGAAAAAATAACACGATTGGAGATTGTAGAAAGACAAAATTTAATTAATTAAACTGGAATCCATTACAATAAAATTCTAACAATGCTGAAAGTGATACTTGCAAAAAGATAAATAAATGACAGAAATAAATAAATAAATAAACTAAATAGAAAGTCTGCAAATCGGTCAGAGGTAGCAGTCTCCAAATCTATCCTTTAACCCTCGAACTCCTTGAGCTAGGCCTTCTATCTTACTTGGCCGAATTTTAGATCTGCAGAAAGGAAGACAAAAATTAAACTAGATAAAAGTAAATTGCAGAAATAAAAATAAGAACTAGAAATTAAAGAACGGAAAGTAAATCTGAAACTAACGGTAAATTGGTTGGGATCCGAATCTAGAGGTGGCAATAGTGGCTAGGCGAACTGCAAGCAGGAACCCCTCCTCTTGCCTGGGCGTTTTCCTCTTCCTCTACCCTTGAACTTCTCAAGAACAACCTTTCGTCTTACTTGGGGGTAGAATCCAACCCCTTCTCAGGACGCCTTGGGTTCTTTCTATAGAGAAGGGTGGATAAAACTGGGATTAAAGAGAAAGAGGGGGATGGCAGCTAGGTTATAGTAGAAATATGGGCACCCTAGGGTTTAGAATGGAGGGTAAGGATTGTTCTAAGGTGATCCTAAGGCTAAGAAGAAAATGAGAGGGTGCCCAATATTATGTAGGGCTAAGATTTGAGCGCCCAGAATTGTACGGTGGAGATTTAGGCGCCTGGGGCTGAAAGGTGGAGATTAAAAGGAGTGAGTGGTGCCCTAGGGTGAATGGCTGAGATAGAAAGTGAAATAGAGGGTTGAGATCTAGTGGGTAAAGGTTGAATGGTGAGGATTAGAAGTTAGGTGGTGCCCTAGGGTTAGAGTTCATTCCAAAGAGAGTGCCCTAGAATGGAGGGTGGAGATTAGATGTTAGGAAGGGATGGAAGGTGCAGATTTAGCAGTTAAGGGCGGATAGGGTTTGTTAGAGATGAAAAGAATAAGTGAAGAGGCACCCTAGGGTTTATTAGGGAGAGGGGAGTATGCTAATACAGTAGGAGGGGTGTCATTCTGGGTTTAGCAGATAGGAGGCACCCTCCTCTGCTCAGTTTTTCACAAAATCACCCCCTCTCAATTGGAATTCACACTAATTTTCCAAAAACTACATTTCAGCCCTGAAACTTCCCCAGTTTTCCCCAAGATTTGCATAGAAACCTTCAGAGGTAACTACAATTTTGAGCCCACATATGACACATAAATTACCTTTACCTCAATATTGGTAATGGTTGAAGATGGTACAAGGATACTTTTATCTGTATGGGTTTACTCTCTTGTTTTGCAGGAAAGTTTGCTATTATGTCTATGGGGGCTGACATGGTAAAAGGATGCTTCTGGGTTAACCACATATTGTAATTTGTTCTGCTCAGGTCCATACTCAATCTTGTATTTCATTTATTCACTTTGAACTTGAAGGAGTAGCCCTTAAGTTTTTTTTCTTTTTCCAATTAAAGATATGGCAAAAGGTTATTTTGTTGAAACTCACTACATGAAAGAGGGTGAAATGGAGAATTGTGTGGGTTTATATTAGGCAATTCAGGCTGACAACCGAGGTGGCATTTGTATAGTTTGTGTATAAGCAGGGTCTAGTCTTGTTTATTCTGAAAAGAGAAAACCTAACTCTTCTTATTCTGGATTTTTTTTTGGGAGGAAGAGTGATTTCATTTAAAACAGAGAAAGTTGTACTCAAGAGGATGTGCAAGCTTCCAAAAAATAAAAAATACTACTCAGATGTAATGTTGTTGTTATGTAAAAAGGTTTAATTTAAGTTCATTTAGGAAGTATAATTATTTCTGGATGTTATTATTCATTTCCTTTATGGTATGTATACTTTATTCACTTGTGACCATTTTTTGAAATAGTTTTGGCATGTTTATAAGATGAGCATAGCAGCGTTGAGGATGTTATAGATTAGTGGCAATGATAGAAAGAATAGGATTAGAATTAAATGCATAATTAGTAACCTTGGTAACCCGGAAGGTATAAAATGGGTTGAAGGTAGATTAAGAAGGTTTGGGCATGTGCTTTAGACACTTACTATGTACCACCAAGAAGCAATCTAATGCAAGTTGATGGTGCTAGAAGAGGCAAGGGAAGGCCAAAATGGATATGGGTTGACAAATGTATTGGCTGACACTCTACCAAAAATAGGGGTGACTAGGAAAAGCTTTGTATGAATAAAACCAAGGTTGTGATCAGAATTGTAATAGTTTTTAATCAAGAATTGATTGGCATTGGCCTTGTATCTTCTTCCTCTTATCCAGATTCTTGTGTAAAATGGTTCTGAAATAAAAACTTCTTACTCATCAAAAAAAGAAAGACATGAGTAGAGGTAGAGAAATGATCGATTTTGAAAGGTTCAAACTTTGCCAGAGGGAGGATATGGTGTAGCTAGAGTGAAATGGCAAAGCAAGGATTTGCGTAGCTGACCACATTGAATTGGGATAAAGTCTTTGTTCAAATGTGTGCAGTTAACACAGACAATGATGTTTCTTGCATCAAAAAGGACATTGATGATGCAGACCATGAAAATTGTTCATTTTCATATTACAAAATACTAACTAGTAAAAATTTATGTTTTTTATTAGTTTGTTGTTGTTGCTGTTATTGTTGTAATCATAGTAGTGAACTGTGAACCATCTCACTCAAAATTTTCCCTGGTTTTTTGTTTAACTAATTATCGTAATGGATATGTTTTTCAGGTAATTGATAAAGTTCAGGAAGAAACCAAGATCCGTGCAGGTATTGGTGAGCAGGCATTGGTGATCAGGGCCAACCTGTGAACCCCATTGTTGGAAGAGAAACAGAGGGAACATCACAATGATCCGAAAGGAAGTGCGTCCATCTTTCAAGCAGTCTAGCCTTTACCCCCCCTCTGATATTCAGAGCTGAAGCAAACTTCGAAGATCCATATTCATCGGTTGCTCTTTTCCTTTTCAAGTTACATCAGAAGCCATGGGTATCCGATTGCCAGGAATGGTTCATGCAAAAGCCCTTCCCCAACGTTCTCTTATTTCACCTTCTGCACCAACCACTAATGTTCCCAAGGGACATTTTGCAGTCTACGTTGGTGAGACCCAAAAGAAGAGGTTCATTGTTCCAACATCCTACTTGAACCACCCTTCCTTTCAAGATTTGTTAGGTCAGGCAGAGGAAGAATTTGGGTTCAAGCATCCCATGGGTGGTCTTACAATTCCTTGCAATGAAGATCGATTTCTCGACCTTACTTCTCGTTTGAGTGGCTAGTGATCATGAGAGGAGAGGAATGCAGGAGCCTCAAATCAATTGAAGAGGTCAATCAAGAGATCGAATTAACAGATGTGCAGCTTGGTTGACATTCTCAGCTGCAACATCGCCAGATCCCAAGTCTAAATTAAATCACACTGCTGGTTAGTAGTTACAAAGAAGTGGGAAGGCAAAATATATTTCAAATCCCCTGAATGGAGAAAGGACTAGTATTCAAGCTTAAAATCTTTGGTTTTCAAAGCAGCCTGCAGGGAGAGCACATTGACATTGAATCAATCTCATAAACTCGATCAATTTGCAAATTATGCATCTACTTTGCCACTCCAATGCATATATAAATTTACTTTTGTACATCAAGGCAGAAGTAGACAAGGGCTGGAATCTGAAGTTTTCCTTGTCACTTGTTTTTATTTTTTTTGGTTGCTTGTAACAAGTTATCAGACTCTTGATTAACTGTGAGGTTGGAATTTTTCAAACAATTTTCATGGTCTCTGCTTTTTCTCTTCTTTTTCCTATGCTAGACTAAAAATATATATATATTCAAATATGTATCTTTAGCCTTTTACCTTCTTTTAAAAAAGCTTATTGTGGTCAGGACTCGGGAAATAAATTATTCAAGAGATTTATTATCTAGTGTTGGCAACCATTCTTTCCCCCTTCTTACGTAGGGGATGATGGGGTGATTGGATTGTCTATTTCTGACATGACAAGAGAAGGTAGTTTTATCATCTAACATCTATGCCAGATTTGAAGTTATCCATGTGTGGTAAACTAATCTATTCCGGTCTCGGATTATGAATGGGGGCTGGATGATTCATGACTCATCGACTTACCTTTGGTGTCCGGTGTTGGTTCTGGTTTAATGAGTTTGTCCCAATTAATAATCAGGCCTGTTCTGGTTTTTGCCATACTAATTATTTTACTTTCATTCACTTTTGCAAAGGGCAATGAATAGATTATGTAGAATGCTTCATATCAACTGAATAAACTTACACTATTTGATTCGCACGGGAATAGGGGTTTGGAATTGAAATTGGAATGGCCTATTTCAATTCCAACTGTTTGGTTGGGTGGAATTAGGGGTGTAAAGTGTAAACAAATCGAATTTGAATCGGATCAGGTAATATCATAATTCAAATCCGATTTGAAAATTTGATATCCGAATCCAAATTGATATTCAACGGAAATTGAAAATTAATATTCGAGTTCAAATCCGATTAAATATTTGAATATTCGATTCGATTAGGTTAATTAATTATTTTAGATAATTGATAAATGTATAAAATAAATATTGATGATGCGCGATTTGGCTGCTCTTAGATGGAAGATGACTTGGGAGCTAGTTGCGTAGTGAGCTGATTCGAACTGCAAGAAAACAGATCAGAGAACCTGGGGTGGAAGACCCGGTGAGGTCACTCCGATGCTTAAGTTAGTGGTTGCGAGCCAAGGCGTTGGATGCTAAAGAGCTTGAATGTAAACAATCATGCATACCTGGGCTTTGGAGGGGTTGTTGCCCTTATATAGCTGAGCTGCCATGGGTCTTACAAAACGGTCCCGGGATCTTGGGCCTGAGTAGATGAGATCCATTTCCGCTTTAATCAGGGAGTAACATATTAGTTAAGGAGGTCTATCGTCTCCGCCCGATCCAGGCGGGGAGAGGACAAGGCCTGTCGTTATGCGGCGTGATCCCGTGAGGTTCGGAGTTCATTAGGTAGCTTATGGAGTTGATGACGTGTCACTCCAGGTCTTGAGCCCCGAACTAGATTAGGTGCCGAGATGCCTTTACACCGAGGTGACTCTATGCCGAGGTGGTTTTGTGCCGTGGTGACTGAATACCTAGGTGTGCAACTTGGGCGGGCTTAATCTGAGCCTTGCTCAGCCCAACCCAACTTTTTTCATGGGTTGGGTTAGATTTTCTAGGCCTCGAGTTGGGCTTGGGCTTGAAATGACGGGTTTTTATTTTTTTTGTGTTGGGCTCGGGTTGAGGTCTTGGGCAACCTGAGCCCGGCCCGATGTATTGTACATGTAATATATAGTTGAATCAATGAATCGTATGTTAATATGTTATTVTGTTGGCTTAATGGTAGTTGTTTAATTAGTAAAATACTAATTTAATATTAGGTGACATGTGTCAATTGTCAATGCCATTACTCAAAGTCATTAATTAGTTTCTTATTTTTTTTTCTAAACACGATTTCCCTCTTTCACTCTTTGTGTCTCTAGACTTTGACATTTCAAATTCTTTTAACTTTCAAATTCTTTTAATTCGAATGCCATTATCGCAAGTTGGCAACATTAATTAAGGAAACCCAAAGGCCAAACCGCCAAAAGCCCAAAAGCCAAAAGCAAGTGAAAACTTATTATGGCAAGTTGGCAACATTAATTAAGGAAACCCAGAACAAGTAAAAACTCATTAGGCTAATTAAGTTTTAATCTGGGGCTTTGGCCTTTGAGCTGATTAACCAATTCAAATTTGGCCCGGGCCCAACCCGAATGCCTAAAATTTTAGTGCGGGCTGGGCTTGGGTTGAATAATTCGGGCTTGACCTCGGGCTTGAGCTGGGCTTGGGCTTTAGGTCCAATTCTTATGGTTGGGCTTGGGTTGAGCTAAAACCTGGCCCAGCCCGCCCGACTTGCACCCCTACAAATACCGAGCTCTAACTTTTGTTGACTGGGCTCTTTTTGCTGAGTTGTCATTCTTCGAGCAGATCGCGTCCACGTGACCTCTACTTACTAGGTCGTGCCAAATCACCCTCCATCAAATATTTTATTGATATAAAGTATATAAATATATAAACTATTTATATAATTTAATTATTGTATATATAAATTATATACAATATTTTATATATCATATATAAGAATTAAATAATTGGTCAAATTCAGATATTTATCGAATCAAATCAGGTCATATCCGAATTTAAATCCGATTAACTATTCGGTATGAATAGGATATCTGAATTTAACCGACTAGATATTTGAATTATTCGAATTCGATTCTGATGTAGCGCGATCTAATTGCTCCCTGCTGAGGTTGATCTGGCTTCCAGTCGGACGACAAGCTAGGTGATCTACAAAATAAGATCAGAGAACCCAGGGTGGCTAACTCGGCGAGGTCGCTCCGATGCTTAAGTTAGCAAACTTGTTGCGAGCTGAAAAACTGTTGAGAATATTGAGAGCTAGAGAGTAGAGAAATCACGCGTACCTTGAGCCATCTGGGGTGGAGCCTTTATATAGTTGAGTCCTCGCGGGTTTTGCGGATCGGTTCTGGGATCTTCGTCATGATGGGATCTGTTTCTGTGTTAATTGGAAGATAACGTTGCCAACCGATATGGCTTATCAATTCCGCCCGAATCGGGTGGGGAGGTGATAATGCTAAATGTTACGCAGCGTGATCCTGTGAGGTTCGAAATCCGTTGGAGGGATTTCCGGGATCACCACGTAGTGGTCTCGAATCGGTATCCCCGAGCTGATGCCTTTAAGTTCCGAACTGGGTTGAATGCCAAAGTTCCTTGGTGATCCTGTTGCGATGTCGTCCCGAGGTGACCTTGTCGCGAGGTCACTTTATCCCGAGGTGGTTAGATATCCGAGCTCGATCTGTTGCGGACTGGTCATGTCAGGCTGAGTTGTCATCTCTTGGTCAGGTTGTGTCCACGTGTCCCCTCTTTACTAGGTCGGGCCAAATCACCCTTCATCAATTGTCCCCCACTCCCCGAGCCAGGGGTCTCGACCCGGTGCGGAGAGTTCATGACGAGTCCAAGTGTTTTTGGCCCGAGGTCCAGGCGGCTTGTCGGACGAATCGCTGGTTGGACTTGTTCGGCCACCCGGCTCAACCAGGAATAACCTAGGTCGTGTCTAGTCTACGCGCAGATGTCATACGATCTATAAACTCCGCGGACATCAAAAAATGTGCTAAATCGATTTCAACCTCGGGGGTCGCACAGCCGATTTTCCTAAGAGCCATTGGATTGCTTCGATCTTGACCGTTGATTCTCGGACACTGCGGCTATAAATAGGGGGTCCGAGACTCATTTGCTTCACTACAAATTCGCTAGCCTTCGATCTAAGGTCGCGTTCGAGTTTTTTAGCTCGGTTTCTCCCGTTCGGTGTCTTCTTTTAGTTCGGTCTCTCTTTGGTGAGTCTTCCCTATCTCTCCTTTTTTATTCGATGTCTATCTTTTCCATGTCTAGCTTTAGTTTTGATAGTCTTTTAGATGGGAGCGGTGAATTCGCTGGGGCCGAGGTGGCGACCTCGGCTCAGGTCCTAGATCACCACACCGAAGAAGTTACTTCGGGTCGAGAAGCGGTCCGGGGTCCTCCTGAGGTGTAATCACCCCGGGAGGTGCGAGAGGCCTCAGGTGGTCTGGCATTCACCTCGCATCGAGGTCGGCAGCCAGACAACTTTGGCCTGTCGACGATGACAGCGGACAGGCTCCAGACCTTAGTAGCTCGGTATAGGCTTCCGAGCAACCTTGTCTATAGTCTTCCCCTAGGTAACTTTCCCTGGGAGCATGGTCACAACGAGATCATGATCTTCGAGGAGCAGCTCGCGGCTGGTCTTCGTCTTCCACTTCACCCCCTGATCGTAGAAGTTATAAAACTTTTTAACATCACCATAGATCAGCTGCATCCGAACTCCATTCGCAATGTAGTAGGGACCATCTCGCTCTTCCACGACTATAGTTTGCCTCTTGACCTTGATATTTTTTTCTTCCATTCTCTCAATAAAGAACGCCTCCTGGGTTCTACCCGAGCACAGGCGAACTTATTACCTATCTCCTCGTCCAGGTTATAAACTTTTACACGAGCTCCCAAAGAAGGTCCCGACTTGGAAAAGGGGCTACTTTGTGGTCCGTAACACTGAAGGGTGGCCTTTCCCGACCCACTGGAGGGCGGCCATTCAGGATACCAGCGTCAGGCTAGACCTGAAGACAAGGAAAATTCTCCGATCTTGTGCAAAGCTCAGTCTCAAGTTCACGGACTATGTGATCGAAGACAAGCTCGTGCAGGCCGGTCTGAGTCCTGGTAGGTCGTCACTTTTTGTGTTGCCTTTGTTTTATTTCGATGCTG